TATATATATATATATATATATATATATATATATATATATATATATATATATATATATATATATATATATATATATATATATATATATATATATATATATATATATATATATATATATATATATATATATATATATATATATATATATATATATATATATATATATATATATATATATATATATATATATATATATATATATATATATATATATATATATATATATATATATATATATATATATATATATATATATATATATATATATATATATATATATATATATATATATATATATATATATATATATATATATATATATATATATATATATATATATATATATATATATATATATATATATATATATATATATATATATATATATATATATATATATATATATATATATATATATATATATATATATATATATATATATATATATATATATATATATATATATATATATATATATATATATATATATATATATATATATATATATATATATATATATATATATATATATATATATATATATATATATATATATATATATATATATATATATATATATATATATATATATATATATATATATATATATATATATATATATATATATATATATATATATATATATATATATATATATATATATATATATATATATATATATATATATATATATATATATATATATATATATATATATATATATATATATATATATATATATATATATATATATATATATATATATATATATATATATATATATATATATATATATATATATATATATATATATATATATATATATATATATATATATATATATATATATATATATATATATATATATATATATATATATATATATATATATATATATATATATATATATATATATATATATATATATATATATATATATATATATATATATATATATATATATATATATATATATATATATATATATATATATATATATATATATATATATATATATATATATATATATATATATATATATATATATATATATATATATATATATATATATATATATATATATATATATATATATATATATATATATATATATATATATATATATATATATATATATATATATATATATATATATATATATATATATATATATATATATATATATATATATATATATATATATATATATATATATATATATATATATATATATATATATATATATATATATATATATATATATATATATATATATATATATATATATATATATATATATATATATATATATATATATATATATATATATATATATATATATATATATATATATATATATATATATATATATATATATATATATATATATATATATATATATATATATATATATATATATATATATATATATATATATATATATATATATATATATATATATATATATATATATATATATATATATATATATATATATATATATATATATATATATATATATATATATATATATATATATATATATATATATATATATATATATATATATATGATATTTTAACCTCCTACGTTCATTCATGAATGCTATGAAAATGTATATAGTAATTAATGCATACTTTTTATTAATTCAATCTTTAACAATTTTTATTTTGTGCTTAAATAAATAAACTATAAAACATATTTTCATTGAGAATCAGATCCTTACAAAAGTGTCTTACTACACTAGTGAAAAATACACATAGTACTATGCCATTTTAGATAGGTTGGAATGAAACAACTGTAATAAAAAAAAACACAATGATAACTTTATGACTAACATGATTAGTCAACAAATAAAGGAATAACAATAATATATTGGATCATTTTTTCACAACAATAGTTGGATAATATATATATATATATATATATATATATATATATATATATATATAATAATAATAATAATAATAATAATAATAAATTGATTAAAATATCCAAAGTAAGGATTTTCGTGAATGTCATAAAGAAATATATAATGCTCAATTGGTTTCTTCTCATTTATGATTTTAACTCTCTTTTTTAAAATTTGATCAATATATTTAATGTATAATAACTATTGCACGTTACTAATTATGTAGCAATTAATGTATAAGATTTAATATTCAGATTTTATTATTTAGTATTTATTATTCAACATTTATTACATGGAATTTATTAGCATTTATTATATATCTTTTAATAAATATATGTCACTTATAATTATTTAGTGTTATTAATAAGTTTTGAGTACAAATACTTTTGGTACATGAAAAAATTTAATTAATTTCATTTACAAAAGTTTTAAATACATTTTTAGATTTAAAGGGTTTTAAGTGAAATTATATTGCAAAATAAATATATTGTGTTTTGGAAAAAGCAAAAAGAAATTTAGAAGATAAACTTCTCCCTTTCGCTTCAAATCCAAATCTAATCTTTGGAACAATCGTAACTTTCTAGATGGCTCAAATCACCACAAATGTTGTTACAAAGTATAAGATGTTGACACTCCATTTTAATACATTGTATAAAGAGATGTTTTAACATTTAGATAATTTAATTTATAATTGTTCTAATGTTTTCAATTAAAGAAAAACAATTTAAATTTAAATAGTGGTGCATCTAGATGCCATTATTCTCGTTATCATAAGACAATTCTAATAACCATTATTATAATAAATCATGAAATGTAGTACAGAATTTCTAACTTTCGTAATTCTAAGTGCCAATCTAATCAAGGCTGGTAGAAGCAATCTTTTGGTAACGAAAGACTTGAAGAAAACTGATTATGCCCGAATCTCTTAATAGACGGTGTTTCAAACTTAGGATAGTGAATCTTTACAAAATACTCTTTTACATTTTTCTTCAAGTCAGTTTAGATTATTCTGCACACACTTGATTAAAATCCTTCTTTGTCTTAGCTTCAAATCGTTCGAGTGTACTTTTTAAAGACATTCCGACGTTTAAATTAGTGATTAAATTACAATAAATTTTTAAATTCACAATAAAGGCAATCACTTACCTTCTTACTTTTCACCTGTATTTATAGGTTTTGAGATAAACTTATGATTAACGAATTGGATGATGCTTAATGGTATCAATCACTGGGACCGATAATCTTGATTGGATAATGTTTAATGGTATCGATCACTCAGACTGGTCGACCATTCAATGATCTTGACCATAGTTCATGAGCATGAGGAGGGAGAGTAGGAGGCTTTTATTGTGGATTTGGCTTCGAAGATGTCAAGGTAGAGACATGTCATCATATCATGTTTGTGCTTACACTAAAGAAGCACCGATGTAAGTCCTCGACCTATTCTTTTTATTTGTTGCTTTAGTGCTCTCATCCTATGCTTTTTGTTAACTGTGTTGATTAATCCTTTGTTGACCAATAGAAGAATAGGCCAAGGACTTAATTGTTTCTCTAGGGACTGATAGATCAATGATTTGTAAGTGATTTGTTCCAAAGGGTGTTGTTGTCCCCTTCGACCGTGGTAATTTTTGAAGAAAAATGCTTTATTGCTATCTTGCTTTTTCTCTTTAAAACTGATGTCCTATGCGTTTACAATCAAAGAGTAGTGCATTATTTTGTTTGATTTTCATTGTGCTATGCTTTCTTTTGAAGAGTGTTTTGAATTTTATTAGTGATTTAAAAATAGATGTTGAATTGTTGTGTTTATTAAATATCTTGTTTGTCTTAGCAGAATTCTCAAAAATTATTTTTAATGTTTAGAAATTAAAAAGGAAACTTGTACATATAAGCATTGGGCTGATGTTCATGCTCTGCTAGCCACTATGTTGGGAAAGATGTGACCCACACAAATAATAATATTCTTCAATTCACTAGAGTTACTTTTCATTGAACCTTGGCAACCTTTAAATAGGTGCAAATAGGGCCTTGGGCCAAGTACAAATAATAAAAACTGACAATAGAATATCAACTAACTTAAAATAAAATCTACTTAATCTATCTCTATCTTATATAAATAAAATAAAATAATACTTTCCTAAATAAAAGGAAAATCAAAACTAATATCTATTTTATCTCTATAAAAATCAAACTAAATATTACTTGACCCAAAAACTAATAAAATAAGATTTAAACAAAATTATTAATAAAACCATAAAATTTAAGTTTATCCCAATAAACTCCCCCAAAAACTTAAATTCTTCCTTCCTTCATTCCATTTTCCATGTGCATCATCCTACACCGGGTTTGCTTCTTCCAATCAGATTTGAGTTGGAGTTATCCAAGCTCTTGCTAGTCATATTTTGTTTCAAACATCTTCTCTCCAAGATTTTCAGCTCTAGTTCATACAACCGGTTCTTCTTTACTTTTACTTGGGTTGTTAGACGACCATGCTTATACTTTAAATATAATACCTGGTCCTTCATAAAAACTGAATTACCTTTTTCAATTATCTGACTCATGCTTAAAATATTGCTCTTCAGCTCCGGAATATAGTAAACATCCCTAATCTCTCCAACTTGTCCATTCTTCTGCATATGTCGGATTGTTCCATGCCCTTTCATAGCCACCTTGGAGTCATCTCCGAAAGACATAAATTTGGCCTCCACCTTGGTGAGTTTATCAGAAAAGTTCTTGTTTCCACACATATGGTTGTTTGCCCTAGTATCTAGATACCATACCGAGTTGGTAGAAATCTCATCAGCCTTCATCTCTTCTTCATCTTCTTCTTCCTTATTTTTATTTGGTTCATGAATGCTATATGCTTTCTCTTTCTTTTCAAGAGCCACCTTCTTCACCTCCTTAAGCTCAACCCTTTGTTCATCTAGAAGCCTCCCTATCCGTTGAATCTCTTCATCTTTTTGTTTGAGTTCTTTCTCCAAATGTTCCTTCTCCACAATTGTTGCATCCTTTACCGAGATCACTTCATCCATTGCTGGGATCGGGTTCTCCATGTCCATTGAATCCGAGCTCTTAGCCATCAACAGGATTCCTCACTCTTCTTCAACATCTTCAGTAAGGAGATTCGTCTCCCCCTTTGTCTCGGTCTTGCAATACTTTGCAGTATGGCCTATCTTACCACAATTGTAGCACTTGCTTGATCTACACTCATTTGCATAGTGGCCATAGTTGACACACTTAAAACATTCAACTCCTGACCGATCTCCTCGGCCTTTCCCTAGTCCTTGGTCACGCCAATTCTGCTAACCAATTTTCTCTTCATCATCATTCTCAAAATTACCTCGGCCACGTCCACCTCAGCCTCGGCCTCCTCGCCCTCTGCCGCCAAGACCTCGGCTCTGAGTAATCCGAGATTTATTCGAGTCAAACTGTACCTATAGTGCTTGATCGTCGGGTTCCTTCTTTTTCTTTTTCTTCCTCAATTCGTGGGCTTTTAATGACCCAACTAACTCCTTCACAATGAGAGTTGACAAATCCTTTGTCTCTTCAATAGTGACCACGATACTTTCAAAATCATCCATCAGATTTCTCAAGATCTTTTTCGCAACCCAATTAGGAGGAACCTCTTCTCCATTCATTCCAAGTTGGTTGGCCATCTTCTGCACTCAAGTTATATACTCGAACAACTCCCTCATTTTCATCCATCTCCACATGTTCAAACTCTCTTTTGAGAGCTTGTAACTGGACCTGCATCACGCGAGTATCTCCTTTGTATGCCACCTTCAAAATTTCCCATGCTTCTTTTGCTGACTTTGCATTATCTATTTTCTCGAATCCAGATTCATCCACTGCATTATACAGAAAGTATAAAGTCGATTTGTCTTTCACTCGTGTCTTCAATGCAGCAATTTGGTTCACTGTCTGATGCTCATCATCCCCGGGTTCATTGTACCTGTCCTCCATTATGTCCCATACGTCTTGGGATCCAAGAAGAACCTTCATCTGCAAAGACCAATTGTCGTAATTGGTATTTTTTAACAATTGTGGCACACTCATCCCATTGACTACCTTTGCCATCTCTCTCACTAAAAAAATCAAGCACTCACTTTTTCTCTCAAGGTGTTTGACTCTCTCCTCTCTCTCTTTTTCTCTCTCTCGGTACTCAGACCATAAAGCTCTGATACCACTGTTGGGAAAAAACGTGACCCACACAAATAATAATATTCTTCAATTCACTAGGGTTACTTTTCATTGAACCTTGGCAACCTTTAAATAGGTGCAAATAAGGCATTGGGCCAAGTACAAATAATAAAAACTGACAATAGAATATCAACTAACTTAAAATAAAATCTACTTAATCTCTCTATCTTATATCAATAAAATAAAATAATACTCTCCTAAATAAAAGGAAAATCAAAACTACCTATATCTATTTTATCTCTATCAAAATCAAACTAAATATTACTAGACTCAAAAACTAATAAAATAAGATTTAAAAAAAATTATTAATAAAAACCTAAAATTTAAGTTTATCCCAACACACTATTTAGGTAATTCTATAGTGTGTGAATTATGGAGCCTGTTCAAAGCTCTGTTGCAATTTCTTTTATTGAATGACCTTTCTTAACTCATTACAGTACTGAGAATAGGGCTTCGTTCTTTGTTGCTTTAATTCCGAAGTGAATATAATTCAGATGCTTGTTACTAGACTTGGAATAGTGAAAGATGAGGCCACTATGAAATCAATGAGTAGATTTGGAGATTACAGGTTGCAGTATTATACTCTTGAGTCCCAATGAGAAATATTTGAATTTTGAAACAATTAAAACTTGGCTACTAAATCTATTTTAGTCATATTGCTTCACACAATTAGTGAATCTAACAAAGCATCATCTGGCTACTAAATCTATTTTAGTCCTCTATTTTTTATAATGTTGGAGAGAAAAAAGGACATTATGATGATTCATTACTAAATCTATTTTATCATATTCGACTCAGAAAGTTTTTGCATGATCAGAAAGTTTTTGCATGATTAGATTTAATTCTGGTTTACTAGCTAGCATAATCTATGTTCACCTAAGATTCATGTTTTGCTGGTCTATATGAAATTAATAATGTAACTGGATTTGCTTTGCATCAAATTGCACTATAGTTAACTGAATTGCACTATAGTGAACTAAAAACTAGTTAACTGAACTGTACTACACTATAAGTGAACTAAAAAATAGTTCAGTTCAGTTAGCCTGAACTATTTTTTAGTTTAGTGCAGTTTTTCTAAGTTGGTTTATAGTTAACTATAAACTTTTATAGTATAGTGCAATATAATGTACTTTGCCCACCCCTAGTTTTTCCCTTGCTAGGAAGCGAAGAATCCACTATTGAAGATGTATTTGCTTACAAAAAATTAGAGGCACATCAACTATAAGGGACCATAATCACTGAAGTGGTCATGGTAAAAAATATACAAATGTTAAGAAACAACCAGGTTCATAACTCAGGACAAGGAAAACTAATCCAGATACATCAAGCATTAAAGAAAATCACAAGACTAATTTGCTTTGATACTATATCTGTAATATCTCCTGGTACATTGCTTGAACATATTTGGATGATAGATACTCTGTCATATCTTTATCATGCATCTTAAATACTTAAATGTGATATGCATACTGATAGGGGGAGTGTTGTATTCTGTAATATGCTTGTTCACATGTTAAAGAAAAGGGGAAAAATATTAAAATCATGTGAATATTGTTGGCAAGGGGAGCATCATTATTTTTTTCTGATAACATGCTTGATGCATCTCTATATGATTCAATATCTTTGTTTCAATTACATTTTGTTATATATCCTTTTTTGCTAATGCTTAAACGGGGAGAAATAATTGAACTTTGATTGAGATAATTGAATATGGTTGAAACTGTGAAATAATTTTTTGTTTGTGTACTGTGTACATCATGGTTGGTTTATTAATCATGGTTGTGCATCATCAAAAAAGGGGGAGATTGTTGATAGGGGGAGCACATGTGATAATTGAACCCAGTCCCTGATATGTTGGTTTTTGATGATGACAACACACTGATAATAAAACACATGAATGTTGTCAAGGCACAACAGAAAGGATTTTATGTGTGTTATATCAATGCTTATGTTGATTTGAAATTGCATAAAATGTGTGATAAATGCAAATGTTGAACATACTAATGTGACTACATACTATCGTGTTTATGATGAGATTATATTTGTGTATGCACAATGTATGATTCTGTGTTATGAATACTACATGCACAAAAAGCATATCTAAATGACCAAATCGATTACAATGTTGTAGTAATCAACTAAGGTCATCAAACAGCTTATGGTTTTTAACTGTGGCAAAACAACTAGTTTGAATCAATTACATTAGTTGTTGAATCGATTAAAACTCGTGTGTTTGCATAAATCATTTTCAAATGTGTTGTGATGAGTCTTTGGAAAGAAAATTTTTCAAAATTCTGTTAAGTATTGAAGCTCAATCGATTAAATGCTTTGTGTATTCAATTAAGTCTGTTATGTTTGAAAATTGATTTCTTGCTAGTTATAACAGTTATATTTTTAAATGTGTGTTGACCAACATTTAATGAGAATCGATTACATTAATTGTGTATTAAATCAAGAGCTAAGTTTGTTGTAATTCTGTTACATCTGTTTAATGTAATCGATTACATAAGTTTAGTAATCGATTGCTTTGTGTCAGAACTGATAAAAACTATATATTGACGCATTGTTTGAAAATCTGTAACGATTGATCATACTTACACTTTCATATCTAATTGATTTCATTTGAGAGTTTTACAAATTACTCAAAAGATCCAAGAATCAAGAACGAGAAGAATTGGATCATCTTGAAGCATGCTTGAGAAGCAATTTACTTGACTACATTGACTGATCACTTTATCACATCTGAAGGTGAATCTTGATTGATCAGGAGAGAAAACTTACAATCTTGGATTTGCTATTTCCTTGAATGTGAGCGTTAGGAAGAAGAGTGGTGTGCTCTTGACTTTGAGAGGGGATATCTCAAAGGGTTTGCTGCAACAGGGACGGGTTATTCTGTGTTGACATGTGTTGTTGTTTCTATATTTGATTGAGTGTTTGTGAGGTGTTTACATTTAAGAGTTGCTCTGTAAAGCCTTGGCTGTAATACTCTGATCATTATAGTGAATTACTCTCTGATCTAAGGTTGATTGGGAGGGTGACTAGATGTAGACATTGAGGCCGAACCAGTATAAAAACTGTGTTTGTTTTTCTCTTCTTTATCTCTTTACATTTTCATTGTCAATGCATATACATGTACTGTTTCATTTCACACAGTTGATTGTTGCACAAGAAAGATTTCAAGAACCTTAAAGTTTGCGAAAAAGATTTAAAAAGTGCAAGTTTTTATAAAACACCAATTCACCCCCCCCCCTCTCTTGGTGTAGAGAAACAAAGTCCATCAATTCTAACAATTGGCACCAAAGCTAGTTTTCAAAAGTTATTTGAAAAGCAAATCGATTACTCTTTTTGTATAATCGATTACTCGATCTTGAAATAGCCTTTGTTTCTCCAATACTAAGGAAGAGTGAATTGTTCTTGACTGTGTGCATGTTACTTGCAATGATAAATGTATCTCTGTCACTAACAGATTCTATGAGTCTTTTGAAACAGGATTATTCCAAAGTTCACTCCAAGGAAGGAAAATTGGAATCAACAGTCTGGAATCTAGAATAGAAAGATTAGATTTGGAGGCAGAAAGATTCACCAGGTTCCTAAATAAAAAGAAGGCAGATGTAAATCAAAGTGATGAAAAAAAGAAGAACAAAGATGAGGATTTACCAAGTACTGATCTCATTATGATGGCCAACTCAACCCTACAAAACCAGCTTGTAAGGTGAGATTTGCACCCAAATATATACTATAAATTGGTCTTATCTCTAGTCGATGAGGGACTTCCAACACATCCCCTCACGCTGATGTATATATATCTCAAGCATGAGACTAGACATTAAGGAATGGTCCGATAGTGGGTGGAACAATATGTCCACACAAATCTTGGTACGATAGGCTCCAACCTAGCTCTGATACCATGTTGGGTCTATTGATGAGGAGGTTCACTAGGGGGAGACAACACCAATGAGATCTAAGCCCAACCACATAAGGGATTGACACCAATCTCTACCCAAAACCTTAAGGTAATGGATTAATGGGTTTTTTTATCTTTATATAGTGCTCTACTTTCTCATTTTTATCCAATGTCATGAGTACCCTTTCGTACCGTCATTCATTTTAACGGGACACGATTACTTGGAACCCTTTGGTAGGAAAACTTTCGATATAGGAACCATTGTACTCGTTTCAGTCGGTACTACTCTACCAACGAATAATAGAAACTACGAACAAGATTTAATAGGGAATCACCAAAGATGGCCAACAATCATGAAACAACAACGTTCATAGAATTAGGGGTGAGAAAATAGAATATGAAAACAAAACCTGATTGTCGGCCTACTCTCGGAGACGACGGCAAGGAGAGTCAACGGAGACAAAGGCAAGGAGAGCTAATGGAGACCACAATGTCGATGCAATGGAGGCCACGAAGTGGAAAACATCATCTAAAGAGAAGAAATGATTACAAAGAGAAGCGTTTACTACCTGCCATAATAGGCTTTGAACTTTATTACAAAAATGTCACCACGTCCAACCTATTATAATAGGTGGTGAATCAACAGTCATAATAAGGCCTATTATGAAAGATCCTCTTGGACCCGTCATAATACATTATGAACTTTATTACAAAAATACTACCATATTTATCTATTATGACAAGTCTTTCAAAGTACGTCATAATAACATTCCTTTTATTATAAAAATGTCACTGGTCACCTTATTACGACATGTGGATTTCACCTATCATAATAAGTCATAGAAAGCATTTCTTCCACTAGTTCCTCATCTCTACCAATACTGCTCCATTGACTCTAAACGTCGTGGTCATTGACTCCAATGTCGTTGTCATTGCCTCCAATGACGTGGTATGAATATTAATGCATTGGCAAATGTACCAAATCGTATCAAGTAATATAAAATGCTAAGACCAAGTATCGTTTCCCAAGAGACTCGTGTTACTAAACAATCGTGTCATACCTTAACGATTTAAGACTAAAGAATGATTCCAATGATTAAGGGTAAAATGCAATAAAAGTAAATCTAAACTTAAATGTAAAATCTTGATCTTTTGGAACTAAAAGCAAGAATGAATGAATGATATTGATGATATGAAATGATGATGTTGTTGGGGTTAGATTTCACCTACATCACTTTAATGCATATTAGAACTCATCTTCTTCATTGGAATGTTAATGTCACTTATGAAATTACTTAGAACCCGATCCCTCGACATAAAAAGCCTAGCCTTAATTATTAGACCTCAATCCCTTGAATCCCTAATAATTAATTCTGCATTAAGAAAAGAAGCTTAAGACAACCAAACGTCCTATCCCTAGGCAATATTCCCTTTGGGTGAAATCCTCTAGATCATGATTCATAAGATATTTTCCAATACTCAAACAAATCAAACATCAAGTCATGAATGGCGAAAACAAGACAAGCATTACAAATAGAAGAAAATCACTAACATTCAATGAAAGAAGCATAAATTATTTAAAACATGTTCAAATACATGAAAGTTTAGAGGTTACATCATCCCCAACAACAAATGAGTTTAGTTCTCCATTTTCATGGAGAAACTTAGTGTACAATGGAAGAGTGAATGAATGGAAACCCTAGAAAGTGAGAAGGAAAGCTCCCGCATCCCAATCTCCCTCCAAAGGGTCAAAAATTGTGTTTCTGTGCTTCAGCCGTCCAAAGATATCAACCCTAATGTGTAAAAGCCTTTAAATAGATCAAAATTGGGTTATGGGATAATGTCGCTGGCGCTCAACGTCCTAAGTGGGGCAACCAGGCGTAACTATGACAAGACTGGTGCTAAGGGCAATCAAGCGTCTTGCGGTGTAGCTGACTCGCGCTCAGCGCCCTGAAGGGGGCGCCCAGGCGTGCTTGCGAGGTGCCTGGCGCTCAGCCCCTAAAGGGGCGCCCAAGGAGAAATTCTGACAGCAAAAATGGCACTCAACGCCCCTACTAAAGGGCGCTCAACGCGAGCACACTAGAAATCAACTTCTGTGCAATTGGTGCAGGTGGCGCTCAGGGCCCCTAACCCAGAGCCCTCAGCCTGACTAGGTGGCGTTTAGGGCCCCTGACGTAGGGCCCCCAGCCTGACTTTTCTGCACTGCATCTTTTTCTTTTTTCTGTCGATTTGCTTGCTTCTTCTGTACATTGTTGGAGATTTTTCCAAGCACATTATTAGCTACAAAATAAAGGGATTATAGATGAAATTACATCAAAGTAGCCCAAAACACCATTATTCATAAAACTAAGATAAAAGAGAGGATTAAGTAAGTTACAAATTAGAAAAGAGCTGATTTTGTATCAAAATTGCATCACAGATAACGGTAAAATCAATCGTTATCAATGAACCCCTCCTTAGTGGTATTTCATTCTTAAATGTGTTTCTTCACAATGAGCTTTGGTTCCTTCGTTCTTTACTCTTTTTTTGGGTGTTTTTGAGTTACTTTTAGTTCCTCAAACTAATATGGTTTTTGTATTTATGTCTTAGTGTTGTTTTTTTCTTACGGTGGACTTTTGGTCCATTTCAAAACGTGAGTAGTTGCACCACTCTATGAAACATATATGATTATAATTCTATTTTTTATTGAAAAATATATTTTGGTATGTATTTATGTGACGTACATATTTTATTTCATATGCAGGTTTGTTTCTATGATTTCTATGATATATGATGTCACAAAAACATAACCATCTTTAAAATAAAAATATAGACTTTAGACAGCAATTGTAGTAAGATTAATTAATTTATTAATAAAGACAGGTTTGTGAGCCAAAAGTGTGCAATAGTCCACTGAAAATGAAAATTGCTTCTAAGTTCGATGAAGCAGTGGTGGATTCTGTTGAAACAACATCATCGTCATTATCACCCTCAATTATAAAGATCACCACATTCATTGAGTGAATTCAAATGGAAGGGACTCATGACCATAGCCAAAACTTCTCCATCAACCCTTCCGACTATACAAGCTTCTAAAAGAAGTTGGTTATGGCGCCACCGCCACCATCTTTCGAGCCATCTATCTTCCCTTCAATCAAGTGGTTCTCGTCAAATGTGTGGATCTTGATCCCTATGAGATCAATCTAGTTTGTATCTTTTTCCACCTCACTACTCTTTGATTTCGCTTTTGATCAATCATTTAATTAATCGATGTTTGATATTGCAGCAAGATGATTTACGAAGGAAAGCACAGACCATGAGTCTGATCGATCACCCGAACGTGCTGAAGGTACATTGCTCCTTCACAGTGGAGCAAAGTTTGTGGGTTGTGATGTAGTTCATGGACGAGGGCTCTGTTTGCATCTTATAAAGATTGCGTACACGGAGGATTTTGAAGAGAATGTGTTAGTAATTTTGGGTCCTTCATATATATATATATATATAATATATAGATATGTCTATCTCTCTACTCTTCTTGTCTCTCTCTTCTCTGTTCCTGTCTCTCTCCCTGTCTCTCTTCTCTCATTTTCTCTGTCTCTATGTCTCTGTCTACCCTCTCTGTCTCTTCTCTCTCTGTCGATGTCTCGCTGGCGCCGGCGGCCGCCCCCCGGAGGCGGCACTGTAAGTGATTTCATGAGGGAGACAATTGCGGCGACTATAAAAAACCTGAAATGTTGGTGGTGAAGTAACGATCTGTGTTGAATGAAGTCTAAAGAAGGAGGAGCAAAAGGGTGTAGCACACCAGGAGGATCACCGATAAGAGGAATATCAACAGTAACAGGGAGAGGTACAAACTAGAAGATAGATGTGTAAAGTAAAAAGAAATAAAGATTCTCATCACAAGTACATCAACCATAGATAACATGACGATTGAGGGATGGGGAAAACACTTAATATGCCCTTTTGTGACGTGGAAATCCTAAGAAGAAACATTTGTGAACCTAGAGAGAAACCTTATCAAGAAGATCAAGTGACTAAAATATCATTGAACAAAACTGTATAACCCAAAAACCTCCGAAAGAGGTATGGATGTAGATGGTCTTGAGGAAATAAGATAAAATATGGATTTTGTTTATCTGGACGAAGATGCATCTGTTGATAAGATCATGCCGTGAGAATAGCATCACCCCAAAAACGTGAGGTACTTGACCATGAATGAGAATTTACGAGTTGTTTCAATAAGGGGTTTCTATTCTTTGCGCCCCCAACACCCCCCACCCCCCGCCCCCCACCCCCCCCCTCCCCCACCCGCACCCCCACCCCCACCCAACCCCCCCCACACCCCCCCCCCCCCCCCCTCCCCACACCCCCCCACCCCCCACACCACCCCCCCCCCCCCACACACCCCCCCCCCCCACCCCCCCCACCCCCCCCCCGACCCCACATCACCCAACCCCCCCCCCCCCCCCAGCCCCCCCCCCCCGCCCCCCCACCCCCCACCCCCCCACCAACCCCCCCCCCCACCCCCGACCCCGCACACCCCGCCCCAACCCCCCCCCCCCCCCCCACACCCCCCCCCCACCCCCCCCCCCCCCCCCCACCCCCCCCCCCCCCCCCCCCCCCCCGCCCCACCCCACCCCCCCACCCCTAACCCCCCCCCGCCACCCCCCCCCCCCCCCCCCCCCCTCACGCACCCCCCCCCCGACAAACCCCAACCACCCCCCCCCCCTCCACCCCACCCCCCCCCCCACCCCCCTAACTCCACCCCCCAGACCCCACCCCCCTCTCCTCCACCCACCCCCCCCCCCCCCACTACACCACCCCACCCCCCCCCACCCCCCACCTAACACCCTGCCCCACCCCCCCCCCTCCCCCCCCCCCCCCCCCCCCCCCCCACACCCCCCCCCCCCCACCCCCCCCCCCCACCCCCCCCCCCCCCCCACCCCCGCCACCCCCCCCCACCCCCACCCCCGTCCCCCCCCCCCCCATCCCCCCCCCCCCCCCCCCCCCCCCCCCAACACATCCCCCTCCACCACCCCCCCACCTCCCCCCCCCCCTCCCCCCCCCTTCCCCCCCACCCCCATCCCCCCGCCCCCACACCCCCCCCCCCCCCCCCCAATACCCCACCACTCCCCCCACCCCCCCCCACCCCCCCCAACCCCACCCCACCCCCCCCCCCCCCCCCCCCCCCCCCCCCCTCCCACCCCCACCCCGCCCCCTACCCCACCCCCCCCACCCCCCCCTCCCCTACACACCCTCCCCCACCCCCATACCCCCCCCCCCCGCCCCCCCACCCCCCCCCCCACCCCCCCCCCCCGCCCCCCCCCCCGACCCCCCCCACCCCCCCCCCCCCCCCCCCCCCACAACCCCTCACGACTACCCCCACCCCCCACCCCCCACCCCCACCCCCCCCCCCCCCCACCCCACAACCCCCCACCCCCCCCCCCCCCCCCTCCCTCCCTCCCACACCCCCCCCCCCCCCCCCCCCCCACCACCCCCATCCCCTCCACTTCCCACGGTGGCCCCCGTGGGCCCCCCCACCCACACCACCCCCCCCCAACCCCCCTCCACCCCCACCCCCACCAACCTCCCCCCCCACCCCCCCCCCCTCCCCCCCCACCCCCCCCCCCCCCCCCCACCCCCCCCCCACCCCCCCCCCCCACCCCCCCCCCCCCCCCCCCCCACGTTCTCCCCCCCCCACCCCCCCCACCCCCCCAACCCCCCCCCCCCCCCAACCCCCCCCATCAAACCCGCGCCCCCCCCCCCCCCCCCCCACCCAAATCCCCCCCACCCCCCCCCCCCCCCCCACCCCTCCCCCCCCCCCAAACCCCCCCCCCCCCCCCAACACCCGCGACCCCCCCACCCCCCCCCCTCCACCCCCCCCCCCCCCCCCCCCCCCCCCCCACCCCACCACTCCTGACCCCACACCCCACCTCCCCCCCCCCCCCACCACCCCCCCCCCCTCCCCCCCTCCCCCCCCCCCCCCCCCCTCCCCCCACACACCCACCCCCACCCTCCCCCCCCCCCCCCCCCACCCCACCCCCCACACACCCCCCACCCACACCCTCCTCCCCCACCCCCCCCGAACCCCACCCCCCAACCCCCCCCCCCACCCCCCCCCCCCCCCCCCCCCCACCCCCCCCCCTCCACCCCAGGCTCACCCCCCCCCCACCCCCCCCCCTCCCCCCCTTCCCCCACCCCCACCCCACCCACCCCCCCGCCCCCCCCCTCCCGCCCCCCCCCCCCCCCCCACCCCAGACCCCCTCCCCCACCTACCCCCCCGTGCACCCCCCCCCCCCCCCCACCCCCCCACCCCCCCCCCACCACCCCCCCACCCCCCCCCCCCCCACCCCCCCCCCCGCCCCACCCCCCCCCCCACCACCCCCCCGTCACCCCCCCCACGCCCCCCCCCCCCACCACCCACCCCCCCCCCCCCCCCACCCCAAGCCACACACACACCCCCGCCCCCCCCCCCCCCCAGCCCACCCACCCCCCCCCTCAACCTCCCCCCCCCCACCCCACCCCCACCGCCCTCACCCACCACCCCCCCTACCCCCCCATCCCCCCCACACCACCCCCCACCCCCCCAACCCCCCCACCACCTCCCCCACCCCCCCCACACCCCCCCCCCCCCACACCCCACCCCCCCCCCCCCCGCCCTCCACCCCCCCCCCACCCCCCCCCCCCCTCGCTAAACCCCCCCCCCATCCCCCCCCCCCCCCCGCCACCCCCCCCCCCACATCCTACCCACCCCCCACCACCCACCCCCCCCACCCCCCCCCCCTACCCCCCCCCCCCCAACCCCCCCCCCACCGCGACCACACCCCCCCAACCCACCCCCCACCCTCCCCATCCCCCCCCAACTCCCCCCCCCCCCCCCCCCCCCCCCCCCACCCCCCCCCAGCACCTCCCCCCCACCCCCCCCCCACACCCACTCCCCATCCCCACCCCCCACCACCACCCCACCACACCCCCCACCCCCCCCCCACCCCTGCCCGCCCCCCCACACAACCCCCACCCCCCACACCCCTCCCCCCCCCCCCCCTCCACCCCCCAACCCCCGCCCCCCCCCCCCTCCCCCCATTCCCCCCCCCCACCCCCCCCCGCCCCCCCCCCACCGCCAGCCCCCCCCACCCACCCCCACCCCCCCACCCCACCCACCCCCTCCTCCCCCCACCACCCCTCCCTCCCGCCCCCCCCCTACCCTCCCCTAACCACCCCCGCCCCCCCCCCACCCCACCCCCCCCCACCCCCTCCCAACACCCCCCCACCCCCCCCCCCCACCCCACCCCCACGCCCGTACCCTCCCCCCCCCCCCCCCCCCCCCCCCCCCTCCCCCCCCCCCCCCCCCCCACCAACCCCCCCCCCACCCCCCCCCCCCCCCCCCCCCCCCCCCCCCCCCCCCCCCACCCAACCCCCGCACCGCCCCACCCCCACCCCAACCCCACCCCCCCCCCCCCCACCCCCCCCCACCCCACCTCAAACCACACCCCCCCGCCTCCCTCCCCCCCCCCCCCCCTCCCGCCCCCCCCCCCCGCCCCCCGCCCCCCCCCCCCCCCCCCCTCCACAACCCCGCCCCCAACCCCCCCCCCTCCACCTAACCCCTTCCCCCCCCCCCCCCCCGCCCTCCCCAACCCCCGCCATCCCCCCTCCCCCCACCCCCACCCCCCCCCCCCCCCCCCCCCCCCCACACCCCCCCCCCCCCCCCCCCCCACCACCACCCACCACCCCCCCCACCCAGCCCCCCCCCCCCCCCCACCCCCCCCCCCCCACCCCCCCCCACCCCCAACAACCCCACCCAACCCCCACCCCCCCCCCCCCTCCCCCTACCCCCGACCCCACCCCACCCCCCCCACCCCGCCCCCCCCCACCACAAATCCCCACCCCACCCCCACCATCCCCCGCACCCCCCACCACACCCCCCCCCCCCCCCCCCCCCCGCCCCCCCCCCCAACTCCGCACCACCCCCCGCCCCCCCCCCCCCCCCGCCCCCCCCCACCCCCCCCCCCCCTCCGCCCCCACCCCCCCCCCCACCCCGACCCCACCCCCCCACCCCACCCCCCCCCCCCCCCCCAACATACCAAACCCCCCCTCACCCCCCCACCCACCCCCACCCCCCCCACCCCCCCCAACCCCACAACCCCCGCCCCCCACACCGCACCCGCCCACCCCCCCACCCACCCCCCCCCCCCCCCCCCCCCCCCCACCCCCCCACCCCCCACCCCCCACCCCCCCACCACCCCCCGCCACACCCAACCCAACCTCCCCCACCACCACCCCCCCCCCCCCCCCCTCGCGCACCCCCCCCCCCCCCCCCATCCCCCCCCCCACCCTCCCCCCCCCCCGCCCCGCCCCCCCCACCCCCCACCCCCCACCCCCCGCCCCCCACACACCCCCACCCCACCACCCCGCCCCCCCCCCTCCCCCTAACGCCCCCCCCCCCCGCCCCTCCCCCCCCACCTCCCCCCCCCCCCCCCCCACACCCACCCCACCTCCCCCCCCCTTCTTGTTCTTGTTTCGCCCCACCCCCACCCCGCCCCCCTCCCCCCCCCACACCCCACCCACCCCCCCCCCCCCCCCCCCCCCCACCCCCCCCCCCCCCCCTCCTCCCGCTCCAGCCACCCCATTTTGTTGAGGGTGCTAGGCACATGAGGTTTGGTGAAGAATGCCATGATAAGCCAATGAAAATGTTTAAACGTTTGAGACGGTATTCACGGCCATTATCACACTGCTAAGTGTCGAATAGAAAACCCCAAACTAAGTTTTTATTCTCATTGACAAAAAGATTGAAAAATAGAAAAACACTTAGAATTATTTTTCCCAATGAGAAACCAACCAACTGAATAAGTCTCAATAACGTAACAAATAACTGAAATCCGAAAGTTGACTTAACACGACTAGGTCCCCAAATATCAGAATGAACCAATGAAAAGGGGGATGACGCTCTTTGTGAAACACTACGAGGAAAGTAACTACGAGTATGTTTACCTAACTGACAAGAACTCACATCGACGAACTTGATAACTTTCGGACATACTCCTGAACAAATTGCTGCGTTTGGCCACGACGTGGATGACCTAATTTGAGGCATGAATAAAGGGATGGTTGACTCCATGATTACGCAGCATTTGGAGAAGGGCTGAGATGGATATAGGCCATATAACTCACATCCTGTGGCCAATCATCTTTTTTTCCGAAACTCCGGTCTGCAACCAAACATACATCTTTGGTAAATGAAATAACACAAATTAAGGGAGAACGGTTAGACGACTTAACCCGGGACAATAAGGTTACGTACCTAGGGACATCAAGTACATTATAAAATGGAGTGAACTGAAAAATATGAACATTACACAATACTAGAGACGAGACTCTAGACCCATCAGCCATTGTTACCAGTGATATGATCGGTGGCGCCTGAGTCAAGGACCCAAGATCCGAGAGAGTGAGTCAGACCAAAAAAAGGAGTACCTGTGCGTATAACAAAAGCAGATGTAGTGGAACTAGAGTGCTGACGGTCCTCATACCATCTGAGAAATTCCTGAAAGAGTACGAGGGGTATTTATGGTCGTGGATGAAGTTAGGAATGGTCTCCAACAGTGGAATCGGGGAGGTGGATCAGAAATTAGGCCATTGCTATAAGGGTCGAGGAAGGAAAACGTCCATCAGTGCATAAACATCTAATCAATTTTGTTGCTAGCTTGCCCATTGGTCACATTTGGCGTCCTTTACCTGGTTGGGGGGGGGGGAGGGGGAAAGGGCGAGACGACGGGGGGGAACTCCAATATCGATGCAAGTTGGGGGCGGGCGGGGGGGGGGCCGCCAGGGTGGTGAGAGGGAGAGGAGCACGCCTAAAAGATCCGAATAAAGCGGGCCGCGAATTGCCAGGCAAACGAGCCACATATTATCCGAGAAAGGATATGGCGGAGGAAAGCGATGCGATGGGA